CTTTGAGACGTGCAGTCTCGCTCTATTCCCAGGAGCTGGAGTGCCGCAGTGGCGGGGATCTCAGCTCACTGCAACCTCTGCCTCCTCTAGGTTCAAGCGATTCTTCGTTCCTCAGCCTTCCAAGTAGCTGGGATTACAGGTGCCCACCACCCATGGCCACACTAATTTTTTTGTAATTTCCAAGTACGAGACAGGGTTTCACCATTGTTGGCCAGGCTGGGTCTTGAACTCCTGACCTTGTGATGCTGCCTGCCTCGGCCTCCCCAAAGTCCTGGGATTACAAGCTGTGGAGGCCACCAGCGCTGGCCCCATTAATTCTTATAACAATCATAAAAAATACAGATTATTAGCCCCAAAGACAGAAAGAGGAAACTTGAGGCTTCAGGAAAATAAAGTAGTTTGTCCAAGTTCACACTGGAGACTGGAATCCAGGCCTGACTCGAAAGACCCACACTCCTCTCAATAGATCACAATTCCTCCCCCTGTAGAGCAGAATAGAGAATTACATTATTAGTTTGCTTTCATTCTGGTTCTTACCTCATGCTCAAAATGAGTTCAGGATCCTTCTGAGGTAAGGCCAACTTTATGTGTGCTGGTGCAGAAGGGCTATAAGCTCAGCCGCTCCATTCGTCGCTTGAACCCAGGAGGTGGAAGTTGCAGTGAGCTGAGACCACACCACTGCACTCCAGCCTGGCGACAGAGCAAGATTCCGTCTGGGGCGGGGGGAAGAGACCAGGGAAATATGGTTTACTGTCAGGAAACATTAAGGTGCCATTGAGGTTACTGATGATCCAAAGTCCACAATTCCAAAGCCATTGCCAATTTCGCTCTACATGAGATGAAAGCAATTGGCATCTTGGCCTGAAGTCTTTACAAATCTGGTTCACATAACTAATTTCTCACAAATCTGGTTCACATAACTAATTTCTCTCATGCTGATTTCATGCTTACCACATAAATTTCTGACTATGATCAGGTTTTCCACTTAAGTCTTCTTTTTTTTTTTTTGAGACAGGAGTCTCGCTCTTGTTGCCCAGGCTAGAGTGCAATGGCGTGATCTCAGCTCACCACAACCTCCACCTCGCAGGTTCAAGCGACTCTCCTGCCTCAGCCTCCTGAGTAGCTGGGATTACAGGCATGTGCCATTACGCCTGGCTAATTTTGTATTTTTAGTAGAGACAGGGTTTCTCCATGTTGGTCAGGCTGGTCTCGAACTCCTGACCTCAGGTGATCTGCCTGCCTCGGCCTCCCAAAGTCCTGGGATTACAAGCGTGAGCCACAGCGCCTGGCCCCATTTAATTCTTATAACAATCATAAAAAATACAGATTATTAGCCCCAAAGACAGAAGAGGAAACTGAGGCTCAGGAACATAAAGTAGTTTGTCCAAGTTCACACTGGGACTGGAATCCAGGCCTGACTCGAAAGCCCACACTCCTCTCAATAGATCACAATGCCTCCCCTGTAGAGCAGAAATAGAGAATTACATTATTAGTTTGCTTTCATTCTGTTCTTACCTCATGCTCAAAAGAGTTCAGGATCTCTGAGGTAAGGCCAACTTTATGTGTGCTGGTGCAGAAGGCTATAAGCTCGCCTACCATTCCCTCCTCATTCTGTCCATACTGAACACAAAGCTCTACCACTGTAGAAAGGAAAATTGGACAAGTAAAAACTTAGTTCATTTGTCAAAACTTTCACCTAGAAAAGCAAAAATAATCCTGGTTTACTCAATCAGCGTTTACTCAGAATCTATTAGTGCCAGGCACTGTTTTGGGCAATGAGAAAACAGAAGCATCCTTGTCCTCACAAAGCTCACTATTGGGGGGAAACAGAAGGGGACAAGGGAAGCATCAGTGGGACCAATTAAAGAATCATGGAAAGGCCCAGGTGAGAGATGATGGTAGCTTGGATCAAGGTGGTGGCAGTGGAGATGGTGAGAAGTGGTTGGACTCTGGACAGGACTTTACATACTGGAAGTGAAGCCAGTGGGATCTGCCAACTGAAGGTATAAGAAAAACAAGGCAAGGATGATGCTGATATTTTTAGCCTGCACAACAGGAAGAGTGGTGTCCCTATTAACTGAGATGGGGAAAAGAGTGGAGGCACTACTCTGAGGAGAGAGAGGAGATACCAGGAGCTTAGTTTTAGACATGCAGAGTCTGAGGTGCCATTTAGACATCCAACTGAAGACAGTAGGCTGTTGAACAAGCCAGCCTGTAGTTCAGGCAAGCAGTGTGGGCAGAGGTATAAATTTGGGAACCATCAGTAAATACATGGGATACTAAAGCTATGAGATCCCGGGTGAGATCACCAAGGGAGCAAGCGTATCTAGAAGGGAGAAAAGATCCCAGGCTTGAGTCTTGGGGTGCCTTAGGGCCTCTGAGGATGAATCCACAAAGCCTGAGAAGTGGTGACACCAGCAAAGCTTAAGAAAAACTAGCAGTAAGCCAGGCGCAGTGGCTCATGCCTGTAATCCCAGCACTTTGTGAGGTTGAGGTGGGCATATTGGTTGAGCCCAGGAGTTCGAGACCAGACTGGGCAACACAGTGAAACCCTGTTTCTATAAAAAATACAAAACTTAGCTGGGCTTGGTGGCATGTGCCTGTAGTTCCAGCTACTCGGGGGCTGAGGTGGAAGGATTGCTTGAGCCAAGGAGGTTGAGGCTGCAGTGAGCTGTGATTTGCCCATTATATTCCAGCCTGGGTAACAGAGCAAGACCCTGTCTCAGAAAAAAAAAGAAAAAGAAAAACTAGTAGTGTCTAAGAAGCTAAGAGAAAAATGTGTTTTAAAAAAAGAAAAAATGATAGTGTCAAGTGCTGGTGCTAATTGCTAATTCAAGATGAGGACTGAAAATTCATCACTGGTTTTAGCAAGGTGAAGGTCACTGGTAACCTTGAGTAGAGAAGCTTCAGTGAAGTGGTGGCAACAAAAGAACTTACTGAAATGGATTTAAGGAGGAAACATTTAAAGATGGCAAGCCCCCCCCCACCTTTTTTTTTTTTTTTTTGAGAGAGTCTTGCTCTGTCACCAGGTTGAAATGCAGTGGCATGATCTCAGCTCACTGCAACCTCCACCTCCCTGATTCAAGCAATTCTCCTGTCTCAGCCTGCCAAGTAGCTGGGACTACAGGCATGAGCCACCATGCCCAGCTAATTTTTGTATTTTCAGTAAAGACGAGGTTTCACCATGTTGGCCAGGATGGTCTCGATCTCTTGACCTTGTGATCTGCCCTCCTCGGGCTCCCAAAGTGCTGGAATCACAGGCATGAGCCACCGCACCTGGCCGACCCTTTTGAAGTCTGCTCCAATTGGGAAGGAGAGAACTCAAGTGGGAAGTAGGGTCAACAGAGTATTTTAAAGGCAAGATGGAAGCACATTTCTATACTAGTAGGAAAAAAATCTTGTAGCAAGAAAAATAGAAAATATGTAAGACAGTAGAATTACCTGTGATGTCCTTAATTGCGTCAGAAGGAATGGGGTTTAGGACTCAAGTGGAGGGCTTGGATTTTGCTAGGAATATGGAGAATTTTTTCATTGTAATAGGAAAGAAGGCTAGGTATATGTCACAGATATGGGTCAGTGAGACGTAATGGTGATTGCTGATGGAAGTTTTCTAATCTTCTATTTTTTTCAGCAAAAAAAAACAGAAGTTTGTCAGCTGAGAGTGAGGGTGGGAGAGAAGAATGTTACAGGAGTAGGTGGAAAACAGTCACCTGGAAGACTCTGAAGAGACCAGGGGCCTGGCACAGTGGCTCACGCCTGTAATCCCAACACTTTTGGAGGCCAGGGTGGGTGGATCACCTGAGGTCAGGAGTTCAAGACCAGCCTGGCCAACATGGTGAAACCCTGTCTCTACTAAAAATACAAAAAGTAGGCCAGGCGCGGTGGCTCACACTTGTAATCCCAGCACTTTGGGAGGCCGAGGCGGGATGATCACCTGAGGTCAGGAGTTCAAGACTAGCCTGCTCAACATGGCGAAACTCTGTCTCTACTAAAAATACAAAAAATTAGCCGGGTGTGGTGGCTGGTGCCTGTAATCCCAGTTACTGAGGAGGCTGAGGCAGGAGAATTTCTTGAACCCAGGAGGTGGAGGTTGCAGTGAGCCAAGACTGCGCCACTGCACTCCAGCCTGGGTGACAAGAGAGAAACTCCATCTCAAAAAAACAAAACAACAACAAAAAGTAGCCGGGTGTGGTGGCGTGTACCTGTAATCCCAGCTACCCGGGAGGCTGTGGCAGGAGAATCACTGGAACGCGGGAGGCAGAGGCTGCAGTGGCTGAGATCAAGCCACTGCACTCCAGCCTGGGTGACAGAGCAAGACTCCATCTCAAAAAAAAAAAAAAAAAAAGGGCAGGCGCGTGGCTCACGTCCTGTAATCCCAGCATTTTGGGAGACCCAGCGAAGCGGATCATGAGGTCAGGGATCGAGGCATCTGGCACATGGCAAAACGCGTCTTTAAAAATACAGAAAATTAGCCAGGGGCATGGTGGTGCGTGTTGTAGTCAGTACCTTGGGGAGGCTGAAGCAGGAGACTGGCTTTAACCAGGAGGTTGGAAGTTGCAGTGAGCTGAGCCACACCACTGCACTCCAGCCTGGCGACAGAGCAAGATTGCGTGGCGCAGGGGGGAAAGAGCCAGGGAAATATGTTACTGTCAGAAAACATTAGGTGCCATTTGAGGTACTGATGGATCCAAGTCCACAATTCCAGCCATTGCCAATTTCGCTCTACATGAGATGATAAGCAATTGGCATCTTTGGCTGACCACCACGTTTTAAAAATCTGGTTTAAGAACTAATTTTCAAAAATCTTGGTTAGTAATCTAAATTTCTCTATTGCGGAATTTCAGCTAACTATAATTTCTTGACCTATTGATCAGTTTTCCTTAAGTCTTCTTTTTTTTTTTTTGAGACGGAGTCTGCTCTTGTTCCCCAGGCTAGAGTGCAATGGCGGATCCACGATCACAAACACCCCTCACCTCGCAGGTTTCAAGCGACTCTTGCCCTCCAGGCCCCTCCTGATGTAGCTGGGATTACGGCATGTTGCCTTACGCCTGGCGTATTTTGTATTTTTAGTAGAGACTAGGCTTTCTCCATGTTTGGTCAGGTGGTCTCGAACTTCCTGACTCAGGTTATACGCCTGCTCAGCCTACCAAATGCTGGTGACAGGCGTGTGCACTGCGCATGGCTTAGTCTTCTTTTAAAAAAGAGAAGGACCGGAGTGCGGTGGCTCAGGCCTGTAATCCAGGACTTGTGGGCGAGGCCAGGTGGGTGGATCACTTGAGGTCAGGAGTGTGGAGAGCAGTCTGGCAACGCCACCCTGGTGAAACTCTTCTCTACTAAAAATACAAAAAAAAAAAAATTAAGCCGGCTCGGTGTGGCGGCGGCCTGTATTCCCAGCTATTGGGAAATATGAGCAGGAGAGTTCGCTTGAACGTGGGAGGTGGAGTGGCAGGTGGGCCAAGCTCCACCGCCATGCCTCGGTCTGGGTGATAACGCAAGACTGTCTCAAAAAGAAAAAAAAAAGAGAGGAGAGAGAGGCACTGGGATGAGACAAAGTTTCTGGTTTCTGAAAAATTTCTCACATAAGATGTTAATGTGTTCTTCTTTTTTTATATATAGAAGTTCAAAGGTGTTGAGTGGGTAAGGCAGGTGCACATCCGGATTCAGAACTTCCAGTATTCCGCTTTGCTTCACATGACTCCTTACAACTGATCTACAGTTGATCAACACGATGGGACGGTATGATGCAGCCCGGGACTCCGGCAGGGAAACTGGCTTACAGGAGCTCAGGGAATTGAGCTTTCTTGGCGTCCTGTTTTCAGTTGTAAACAGGAGGGAGCCAAAAACTCCCTAAAGGCCCCCTTCCACAGCTCAAATTAATTTTAGGATCCACCTCAAGGGAGTTCATATTTGCCAGCAGCCAACAGTTCTACTAAGAGAACTGATGGATCGCAAGAGGTTTAAGTGTAGGCTGGGGAAAGCCGGAGAGCGCAAGAATAAAAAGTAATTTCAAAAGCCGCCACCGCCTCACATTCCTTTGCTTCGTTACCGTTACCGGGCCTCAACCAATGCAAACTCAGGTACACTGGGCTGAGTCTGCGATCTAGAATCCAATTTCCCTTTTCGAGAACTTCCGAGTTGGATTTAAATGTGGCTGCATTTTCGTTATTTTTGATTTGGAATCCAAGCGTACCCGGGTTGGGCATTTAAAGTGGCACATTAATCTCAAACTCAGTTTGATTCTCATTTACAGCCACCGGGGAACCTGCTCCAGGGGGAGGGGAATTGGAAGCGCTCTTTCGGTCGAGGCCAGGAACTCGGGGACGCGCCGTGGATACACGGCTGCGGGGCGGGGAATGGTGCCGGACTCACTTTCTCAATTAGGAGCTCCTCGGCAGTCTAGGCGAAGAGTCTGCCAGTCTCGCCAGGCTGCTGGGGGGATGCGACATGGTCGCCAAGCTCAGGGGGCCGGGGGGAGCGGGCCCACCCAGCTCCGGACCTTGTGCGAAGAAATCCACGAGCCCTGGCGACGATTGAGCGCCGCTCTTATCCTTTCCAACCTCCCGGACCGTGACAGGAGGTGACTGGGGCCAAGCAAGGACCTAGACCGTCAGAGGGCCCGGCGTCGGTCACAGAGAATACGGTTTTTTTAAAAATGAAGGTGGCGCCCCCAACCCCCAA